ACAACTACTACTACAACAACAAAACTACTACTACTGACTACTACTACTACTACTACTACTACTACTACTACTACTACTACTACTACTACTACTACTACTACTACTACTACTACTACTACTCTAGCGTTACTGATACCATGACTACTAATACGAAAGAGGAGACCTAGGAGCTGTTGCAGCAACAGTTTTGGCCCAGTGTCCGCGGAGGGATTCGCACAAGAGGCCTGGAGCGGATGGCTACATCGTCAGCAAAAGTGAGCCGAAACGTGGTGCCCGAACACAAGGGCACCCTGTGGGATCGCGATCACGAAGGCTCAGTCGGGCAGCGCAGAGGCCCCGAAGAAAACCTTGTGGCGCGCTGTGTTGCGTTGTTCCCCCCCCCTTCCTCCCCTGGGGGCGCCAGCCCCGCCTATAACAACAATCAGCACATCGGATGATCGGATATGCTGTTTTGTTACCAATGCGGAGCCTCTTACGGGTACCTTGTATTTTGTTCGAACGGATCACGCAAGCTGTCTTCGAATCCTGTGCCCCCATGGCCGTTCAACATGGCCCTTCATCATGACCCTCCAGGGGGCGAGTGCTGGCGTGGGCCGCCAGCGTGAACGTCACGCTGGAAACGAGGGCGCCTCTGCGCGGCCACACACGGGCACCCCACACGCCGGCATCGGCGCAGTCGACCCCACTTTTCTACCCCGTGCAAGAGCGTGTCAGGCCACGGCGCAGTGCAGGCCACGGCGCGTGTCAGGCCAGGGCATTGTCTTCGATGCGCGGACCCAAGGGGTCCCGACCCCTTCCCCTGGGGTAGTCCTTCGTCCCGGCTCCGCTTTGCATGGTCCTGGGGCTCGCTGACGGGCCGCAGAGGCCCAATTTGACGGAAAACGGCCAGCCATATTATATATATAGAGAGAGATGCATATAGATATATATATATATATATATATGTATATATATGTATATATGTGTATATGTATATATATATATGTATATGTGTGTATATATATATATATATATATGTTTGCATTCATGTAGGTATTTATGTATGTATGTATGCCTGTCTGTCTGTCTGTCTGTCTGTCTGTCTGTATGTATGTATGTATGTATGTATGTATGTGTGTATGTATGTATGTGTGTATGTGTGTATGTTTGTATGTATGCATACATAAATGCATGCATGCATGCATGTATGTATGTATGTGTGTATGTAAGTTGTGTATGTAAGTATGCATGTATGTATGTATGTATGCATGCATGTATGTATGTATGTGTATATAACAATAACGTACCAAAATAAGCATACAATATTAATACTGAGAAGAATGATGACAACGTTTTCTGAATAGCATATTCGTTTCAGAATGCAATCCAAAATATGGGGCAGTGGCCAGGCACCAGCAGCGAGATGGCGGCAAGCACCAGAGTCCTCCGCGGAGGGGCCAGGTGGCCGGGCGCGCGCGAGGCGGTGCGGGCGGGCTTCCTCCTTGGGCAGCGTCTTGACGGCCGTGTCGCGCGTCCACGTGAACATGCTGGACCACGCCAGCTTGGTCTGCGCACCATCCTGCAGGCAACCCAAGACCTCCAGCCGTCTTGGACAGAAAAAAAAACCGGGCGGAGGCCTACCACCACTGTCGCCGTCTTGGGGACGCCCCCCAGGCCCCAGGGGCCATAAGCGAGGCGATCTGCGGCCCAAAAACCGACCCCGCGAAGGGTGTCTGGAGCTCTGTGGCCCGCGCATCAACAAGACGCAAGACGTCGGAGGCCTGGGTGCAGCGGCAGATGAGGAGGAAGAGGAAGAGGAAGAGGAAGAGGAAGAGGAAGAGGAAGAGGAGGAGGAGGAGGAGGAGGAGGAGGAGAAGGCGCCGGCCGAGAACCTGACCTTTTCGCTTTGGGCAGCCCCACGTACGCCCGCCGCGCCCCAGCACTGCGTACCCCCTTCGGACGTGCGCAACCGACAAGGTCAGGTTATCGGGGGGGGGCGCGCGGGTCCGATAACCTGGGTGATCGTGCGACCCTGGAGAAAACAATCTTCTGCGACCAGCTCTTCGCCGCACACGTCGCTCCCATTGGTGCCCGCAGGCAGCTCAAGGCTTGATCGAAGCGGGAAATCATGATCGCATCGCCTGGAACCAAATCGGGCGACGCACCATCGGGAGCCGGATCCAGGTCGGGTCGAAGAGGCCCACTATCAGCCTCCGAGCCTCCAGAGAGACCTCCAGGGACGTCCAGGAGCCTCCAGAGGGATCTGCAGAGCCTTCTGGAACTCTCCCCGAGATCTTTACCACGTCCTCCCCTCCTCCCGAAGCGGACCACCACCCCCAAAGGAAGCTCTGAGCAGAACCCCGCCCCCCCTACCCAAGAAAGAACAGAGGAAAAAAAGAGGACGACGAAAATGGTCAAAGATCCCCCGACGCGACGCGGAGTGTGTCACATGTTCGGTTCTGCCAAGCCTCGGGACATGAGGAGTCACACGTTATGGCCTCCTGTGCGTCCCTCGAACAGTCGCCACCCAATTAAGCGGGATGGCACGGTGGCGGGACCTGCCGCAGGCAGCTGGATGACCATCTCGTTGTTTATGGCCTTGCTGAGCGGTGCCACCGAGCGAGTCGGGTCGAGTCCAGCTGTCATCCTCCATTAGCTCCAGCTCCTTATCCTGCTCCTGTTGCTCACCCCTCTTTCTCATTCCCTCCTCCTCATGCTTCTCCATCACCTCTTCCTGCTGATCCGCCGCCTCGTCCTCCTCCTCCTCCTCCTCCGCCTCCGCCTCCTCCTCCTCCTCCTCCTCCTCCTCCTCCTCCTCCTCCTCCTCCTCCTGTATCCTCCTCATACTTCTCCTCCTCCTCCTCCTCATCCTCCTCATCATGCTCATCCTCATGCTCATCCTCACCATCCTCTTGCTTCTCCCCGCTTCGTATCCAAAAACCCACCCTTCATACCAGCTGCCTGGATCCAGTGGCCAGTCATGCCGTTGACGCTGATCCTATTGTAGTGGTAGGTGCCGTTTCCGCCGAACCCTCCCTCGCTGGCGATGGTGACCTTGCCAGACACGTCATCTCCTAGGCAAACACTATCCAATGAAGCAAGGCGAATTGAAGTCGGACGTTCCATAGAGGAAGCGGCAAAGGGATGGAAAAGCTGCCTGGGGCTGGACAGAGCCCAGAACAGCTTCGCCAGCCCTCTCTTCTTCCCCATCCACCTCCACATCCCCCACTCCCGTCGCCACCCCACCCCCTCTGCCCCTGCCATTCCCCCCTCCCCGATCCACCTCCCCTCCCCCGCCTATCTCTCAAGCGTTCCCCCCTTCACCTCACCCTCCAATGTCCTGCCGCCCCTGTGCCTAAACTCTCGGCAAGAGGAGCGGCGGTCCTGTCGCGGCAAACTGGGCCGCGTAGTGCGTGTCCCCTTTGTCGTCTGGAGGGGCAGTGTCCCAGACCTGGCCCGAATGCGTACCCACGCCCGCGCCGCCCCTCCCCATCCCCCCAAATCCTCCTCTCGGCGGCGAGCGAGGGGGGAAACGAGTAGGCGAGGGCCTTCTCAGAAGGCGGCGGGACTTCTCAGAAGCCCTCGGCGACTTCTGAGAAGTGTTCTGCGTCTTCGGGGAAGACTTCAAAGACTTCGTGGAAGGCCGGGGGACTTCCAAGCCTTCTGAGAAGGCTCGCCCATTCTCACTCCCCACCCCTCGCTCGCCGCCGATCCTCTTTCCCAAAACCTCCGAGGCACCTGGATTCAGTCAGGACGGGGGTGGTTTGAAGGCCGCAAATGGCCGCTGTCGTGCGCTGGGGCCCTCGAGCCGCGATCTCGAACGACAGGCTGGTCCGCAGGAAGGGGTCCAGCGCTCCACGGCCCGCCCCGCGGAGGAACAAAAGCAAGGCTTCGGAGGCCGCGGGGGCGTGGAGGGGCGGGAGAGAGACTCTACGCCCGAAGTGGGCACGGAAAAAAATGGGCACCATGCCGAACAAGAGGTGTTGTCCAAAACCGACAGCGGCCGCTGACGGGCAGGCGGCGTTTCGTCTTCAGAGGGCAACGTCCGCGGCGGCGCGGACAGCGAGCCCCGTTCAAAGTGAACAGGAGCTGATGTTGGGCCTTGTATACCCATTCTTTCCGTACCCAGTTCGATCGTCCCGAGAGGCAGCGGCTACGAGGCAGAAAAACATCTGGGGGTGCTACTGACCCAGGTCAGTCCAGACCCCGGATCGGTCAGGCCTGGCAGGATCCTGCGGGATCCTGCAGGATCCTGCACCCAAGCCCGGGTCCGTGCACCCCTGGCCATGCAGGATCCTGCAAAATCCACCGTTCTGGTTGACCCCCGTTTGCATTGACCCCCGTCTCTTGAGCCCCGAACATCCATCGCCTAAGGGCAACTGGTGTTCGTAACCTCCGCCAGCGCGAAAGCTTCATAGCACACGGACGCGTGGCACAGCGGTGGATGTAGACAACATCCAGGCTCGGACTGGTGGCGTCGAGCCAAAATCGTGCTGTGATCCAAGCCTGGGATCTAGTCCAGAACCACCAGTTTTTAAAAATGCCCTCGAGTATCTCGGGGATGCTCGTTTCGGCGGCCAGGAGAACAAGCTAGCGCGCAACAAACAAACAAAAAATGCGGCCGCGGGCACAATAGACCGCTCAAAGCTCCAGCGACCGCGGGCACAGCCCATGGCGCAACCAATAGCAAGAGCTGTCTCGCAGCCGCTTAGGCGAAGAGCGCGACCTCTGGGCAACCAGCAGCAGGCCGAACACGGGGACAAGCAGGTGGACGGAGGAAAAAACTTTGTCGTCCCCTTCTCCCCCGGCTGCTCTTCCATCTCTAAAAACACGCACGAGTCGCAATAGCATAGGTGGCCGCTGCACGCGCTCATCGGCGGAATACATCGCCGTGACGAACGCTTCTTTCTATATGCTTTCGCCAACACCGCAACAAGGCGGAGAAGGTTGGAGTAACAATACTCCAACTACTCCGCGCACGGATGCATTCCTGCTCGAAACTTTCTAGGGTGTGGCGCGGAGTAGTTTCCGATCCGGTTCGAGGGTAACAGAGTTATAGCCTCAGGCGGATCGGAAACCACTCCGCCGAATTACGGCATCATCATGATGTTAGGAATCTAAAAAAGGATTGAACATATCCTTGCAATCGCAAATTGAAGAAACTTTGTCACGGCGGGATATCAGCCGGAATGCTTCCATAATAGCCGTCTCACTCAATCTGCCCAAGCGCGCTTCCGTGCGCCGTCAGGGGCCCAGCCCGCGGTGTCTGGACAGCTGGCCGACTCGCTTCGAGTCGCTTCGCGACGTTGCGCTTCACAGCCTGTGCAGGGCCACGCCCGACCTTTGGTTGCCGTTCGGGCAGCGGGACGGCGGGGCCAACATCAATCCCCCGACCCCTCCGTGACGTCATCCTGGCCAATCTCTCGAGCCGCGCAGAGCCGTCACCGCAGAGCGCCTCCCCCCGAAGCCCCGCAGGAGCCAAGAATTTCGTCTTCAAGCGTCGCCGCCAGTGTACACAGAGGGCCTCCGCGGGTCTGTGAAGGCCCCCGAGGTCCCCAAAAAGCCCCTGAATCCCAAGGAGGCGGAAAAATATGCCATGTTGCTAGCGTGGACCCCAAACAAGGCGTTCTAGCAGAATGCGTGGTGCAATACATGTGGTGAAAGCTACGTGGTGCAATCTACCTGGTGCAATCTACGTGGTGCAATTGCCCTGTGCTCGCAATGAGTTGTCAACTCCACTGATCGCGCAATCATCCCACCCACCCACCCACCCGCAATCTGGTTTGCAAAACCCAGCGACGGCGATTGCGATGAGTGCTTGGCGTTGGCTGGTGCATCCCTGCGGCCGCGCTACCCAGCGCATGCTCGCGCGCGCAGAGGCCAGCTACTGCGGCGCGACCGTCGCGGCCGCGGTGACGGCGACCGCCGGGCACTTTCCAGCGGGCATTTCAGTGCGAGTCGGTGACCTGGGCAGGCGCTGCATCATGGCGACGGCAACAACGGTAGACACGGTGATGAGAAAAGCGATGTCAATGGCGACGGTGGCGATGAAAACGGAAAGGCCAATGACGGCGGCGCGTCGGCAATAACGGTTCTGGAAAGATTTCGCCATGCGCGCGCGGCCGGCGCGCGCGAGTGGCCCGCGTGGTAGCATTTGAACATGGTCGTGCCCCCCCAGCATGCGCCTGAAGGAGTTCGGATGAGTTCGATATGCGGCGCGAAAGGCCCGTTTGTCTGAATTCGATGACAGCGTTGAAATAAACAATGGTTTTCTGAACAGGTCGCAAGAGCCCGCGCGCATGCTTTGCTTGAAAACTGATGCTGCCAAACCGTATGTTTTTAGATGTTTCCGGGACACTCGTTCTTGAAAACCTTACGCAACCGATTGGTCTGTTTCAAAGGAAGCGCGACGACGCGCGCGCCTGCACTTCGTCCTGTTTGTTGCAAAGGATTCTGGCGACAACACGCGCGCAGGGGCGTTCGAACGATTTCGACATGCGCGCGCGAGAAGCCCGTGTGGCGCGCATGCTTTCTTTGAAAGCTGGTGTTGCCAAACCATACTTGGATACGTTTTCGCGACACTCGATGATGAATTACTGACGAAACGTAAGGTTTTGAAAAAAGTCGGCATGCGCGCGCGACGACGCGCGCGTGCGCACTTGATTCCTTGATTTGCCAGGGATACTCGAAAACCGCTAAATTTTCAGGAACGAATGCGCGCGCAAAGCATGTGTTGAGCAGGATGAAAGGGGGGAACCGTTGCTGCCCTGGTTGGGCTGGAAACTCTCATTTAGGATGGGCGGCGAGGCAGAATCATATGTAAATTGCAATACGAAAAGGATGTCGGTTACATCCGAGGGAGGAGTAGACCTGAAGACTGTTTGATAACAGGGGGATTAGATGTGGTGCGATCTTGATTTCTGTTCGCCATGAGTTGTCCACTCCACTGCTCGCGCAAACATCCCACCCACCCACCCGCAACTTGGTTTGCAAAATCTCTTAAGACCAAGACGGTGGGTACCACATGGCACTTGGCAACGACAGCGACGCCGACGACGACAGCGACAACGACGACGACGCCGCCGCCGACAACGACTACGACGACACCGACGACGTCTCCAACGACTTCGACGACGCCGACAACAACGACGACGACGACGACAACACCGACGACGACAACGACGACGCCGACGCCGACGACGACGACGACGACGGTGACAACGACGACGACGATGACGACGCCGACAACGACGACAGCGACGACATCGACGACGACGACGACGACGTCAACGACGCCGACGACGACGACGACGACGACGACGACGACGGCGGCGACGACGACGACGCCGACGTCGACGACGACGAAGACGACGACGACGCCGACGCCAACGACGACGACGACGACGACGACGAAGACGACGACGACGTCGCCAACGAAACGACGACGAGGGAGGAGGGAGGACGACGACGGCGACAACGACGACAACGACGACAACGACGAGGGAGGAGGGAGGACGGCGACGACGCGAACGACGAAGAAGGAGGAAGGACGGCGACGCCGACGACGACAACGACGAGGGAGGAGGGAAGACGACGACGACGACGACGACGACAACGACGACGACGACGACGACGACGACGACGGCGACGAAATAGGAGGGACGACGACAGGACGCCGACGACGGACGACGACGACGACGAGGGAGGAGGAGGACGGACGACCACGGCGACAACGACGACGGAAGCGACCACGACGCCAAAGAGGGCGACGACGACGAACACGAGGAAAGACAGAGGAAAACGTAGGCGACGACGACGACGACGACGACGCGGGAGGAGGGAGGACGGCGACGACGACGACGACGACGACGCAAGAGCGCGCGCGCGCGCTTTTGTTGAAAATCCGTGTTGCGAAACCTTGTGTTGTTGTAGGTTTTTTGGAGCCACGATTTTGAAATCCTTCCGAAACCGATGGGTTTTGAAGGATTTCGGCATACGCGCGCGACGACTCGCGCGTCTGCACTTCGTCCCGTTTTTTGAAGAGGATTCTCGCGACGGCACACGCGCAAGGGCGTTCGACAGATTTCGACATGCGCGCGCGAAGCCCGTTTGGTAGCACGTTGCAAAACTATTGTAAAACATATGGTTTTCTCAAGATTTCGCAAGAGCTCGCGCGTAAGCTTTTTTAGCAAATCAGTGTTGCGAAAGCATGTGTTGTTGTATGATGTTGGGAAACTCGATTGCGAAATCCTTCCGACACCGAAGGTTTTTGAAGGATTTCGGCATGCGCGCGCGGCGACGCGCGCGTGCGCACTTCGTCTGATTTGTTGCAAGGGATTCGTGAAAAATCTTATGTTAAAACAACAAATGTCCCCGCGTATTGTGTTTTAACCAGGGAACCTCAGGGGGAGCGATACAGGCCCCCTTTGGATAGTGTAAATCCCACCAGCCCTTTGGGC